CCTCTGGACAACAGTTTTGGTAATCCCGCACCTCCTCCTAACTTCCAAACTACGAATTCTCTGCATTATATTCACACCACACATTGCCCTCAGACATGACATCTCCACTGCCTCCAGCCTTCTCCTCACTGCAACATTCATCACCCATGCTTCACACCCATATAAGAGCATTGGTAAAACTATACTCTCATACATTCCCCTCTTTGCCTCCAAGGACAAAGTTCTTTGTCTCCACAGACTCCTAAGTGCACCACTCACCCTTTTCCCCCTCATCAATTCTATGATTCACCTCATCTTTCATAGACCCATCCGCTGACACGTCCACTCCCAAATATCTGAATACATTCACCTCCTCCATACTCTCTCCCTCCAATCTGATATCCAATCTTTCATCACCTAATCTTTCTGTTATCCTCATAACCTTACTCTTTCCTGTATTCACTTTTAATTTTCTTCTTTTGCACACCCTACCAAATTCATCCACCAATCTCTGCAACTTCTCTTCAGAATCTCCCAAGAGCACAGTGTCATCAGCAAAGAGCAACTGTGACAACTCCCAATTTATGTGTGATTCTTTATCTTTTAACTCCACACCTCTTGCCAAGACCCTCGCATTTACTTCTCTTGCAACCCCATCTATACATATATTAAACAACCACGGTGACATCACACATCCTTGTCTAAGGCCTACTTTTACTGGGAAATAATTTCCCTCTTTCCTACATACTCTAACTTGAGCCTCGCTATCCTCGTGAAAACTCTTCACTGCTTTCAGTAACCTACCTCCTACACCATACACCTGCAACATCTGCCATATTGCCCTCCCCCCCCCTATCCACCCTGTCATACGCCTTTTCCAAATCCATAAATGCCACAAAAACCTCTTTAGCCTTATCTAAATACTGTTCACTTATATGTTTCACTGTAAACACCTGGTCCACACACCCCCTACCTTTCCTAAAGCCTCCTTGTTCATCTGCTATCTCATTCTCCGTCTTAGTCTTAATTCTTTCAATAATAACTCTACCATACACTTTACCAGGTATACTCAACAGACTTATCCCCCTATAATTTTTGCACTCTCTTTTGTCCCCTTTGCCTTTATACAAAGGAACTATGCATGTTCTCTGCCAATCACTAGGTACCTTACCCTCTTCCATACATTTATTAAATAATTGCACCAACCACTCCAAAACTATATTTCCACCTGCTTTTAACATTTCTATCTTTATCCCATCAATCCCGGCTGCCTTACCCCCTTTCATTTTACCTACTGCCTCACGAGCTTCCCTATCCACACTCACAACTGGCTCCTCCTCACTCCTACAAGATGTTATTCCTCCTTGCCCTATACACGAAATCACGGCTTCCCTATCTTCAACAACATTTAACAATTCCTCAAAATATTCCCTCCATCTTCCCAATACCTCTAACTCTCCATTTAATAACTCTCCTCTCCTATTTTTAACTGACAAATCCATTTGTTCTCTAGGCTTCCTTAACTTGTTAATCTCACTCCAAAACTTTTTCTTATTTTCAACAAAATTTGTTGATAACATCTCACCCACTCTCTCATTTGCTCTCTTGTTACATTGCTTCACCACTCTCTTAACCTCTCTCTTTTCTCCATATACTCTTCCCCCCTTTGCATCACTTCTACTTTGTAAAATTTTCTCATATGCTAACTTTTTTCTCCTTACATACTCTCTCTTTACATCATCATTCCACCAAATCGCTCCTCTTCCTCCCACACCCACTTTCCTGTAACCACAAACTTCTGCTGAACACTCTAACACTACATTTTTAAACCTACCCCATACCTCTTCGACCCCATTTCCTATGCTCTCATTAGCCCATCTATCCTCCAATAGCTGTTTATATGTTACCCTAACTGCCTCCTGATGCTTCTATTCTCCTTGTATCCCATCTACCTTTTACTCTCAGTGTAGCTACAACTAGAAAGTGATCTGATATATCTGTGGCCCCTCTATAAACATGTACATCCTGAAGTCTACTCAACAGTCTTTTATCTACCAATACATAATCCAACAAACTACTGTCATTTCGCCCTACTTCATATCTTGTATACTTATTTATCCTCTTTTTCTTAAAATATGTATTACCTATAACTAAACCCCTTTCTATACAAAGTTCAATCAAAGGGCTCCCATTTTCATTTACACCTGGCACCCCAAACTTACCTACCACACCCTCTCTAAAAGTTTCTCCTACTTTAGCATTCAGATCCCTACCAAAATTTACTCTCTCACTTGGTTCAAAGGCTCCTATACATTCACTTAACATCTCCCAAAATCTCTCTCTTCCTCTACATTCCTCTCTTCTCCAGGTGCATACACGCTTATTATGACCCACTTTTCGCATCCAACCTTTACTTTAATCCACATAATTCTTGTTTTTACACATTCATTTTCTCTTTTCTCCTTCCATAACTGATCTTCAACATTACGCTACCCCTTCGTTTGCTCTAACTCTCTCAGATACCCCATATTTAATCCATTTATTTCCCCCCAAACCGAAACCCCCCAAACCCCCTTCAGCTTTGTTTCGCTTAGGCCAGGCATCCAACTTCTTTTCATTCATAACATCAGCAATCATCTGTTTCTTGTCATCCGCCTACATCCACGCACATTCAAGCATCCCAGTTTTATAAAGTTTTTCTTCTTCTCTTTTTTAGTAAATGTCTACAGGAGAAGGGTTACTAGCCCATTGCTCCCCGGGATTTTAGCGCCTCATACGATACGCATGGCTTACGGGGGAAAGATTCTTTTCCACTTCCCCAAAGGACAATAGAAGAAATAAAGAAGAACAAGAGCTATTTAGAAAAAGGAGAAAAACCTAGATGTATGTATATATATATATATGCATGTGCGTGTCTGTGAAGTGTGACCATAGTGTAAGTAGGAGTAGTAAGATATCCCTGTTATCTAGCGTGTTTATGAGACAGAAAAAGAAACCAACAATCCTACCATATGCAAAACAGTTACAGGTTTCTGTTTCACAGTCATCTGGCAGGACGGTAGTACTTCCCTGGGTGGTTCCTGTCTACCAACCTACTACTGGACACTTAAGTAAGGAGTTATTCAAGACACGTTATACCGTTTACGTCAGGCCCATATTGGAGTTTGTAGAACCAGTATGGAACCCATACCTGGTCAACCACTTCAAGAAATTAGAAAAATTCAAAGTTTGCAACAAGACTAACTCCGGAGCTAAGGAGTATGTCCTATGAGGAAAAGTTTAGGGAAATCAACCTTACGACACAATAGGACAGGAGGGATAGGGAAGATATAAAAATATAAAATGCTGAAAGGAATTGACAAGTTGGGTAGGGACAGAATATTTCAGAGATGGGAAACAGCAACAGTGGTCACAACTTGAAGTTGATTACTCATATGAATCACAGTGATGTTAGGAAGCATTTCTTCAGTCATACATTGTTACGACTTTGATGTAACTTAAATAAAATGTTCCTGGCTCCTAAAGACTGCTCACACTGCTGTCTATGGGTTATAAAATTACTCAGAAAAAAAGACAGCAAACCTTGGGCCAGCATGTACTCATATTAAATAATGAAGCATGAGTGCAAATGATCAACGTTGTATAAGGAAGGACACAAAAACTCACCTATACAAAAGTATGTATAATATTAATAGTAACTTACAATCTACTTCAAAAAACCATCACACTCCAGTTCACATTAGCTCACTAGCACACTGCTACTAATGAGTTAAGAAAAATAAATGAACATTTATGAAAAGGGAGGCTCCATGACACTCCCTCCCCCCTTTCTGCAGGCTACATAGCCTACAGTGGGAACGTTAAATATTCTCCAAAACACAACCCCCTGCATACTAGGGCTTTACAAATAAACATGAGAGCACCACAAAACAGAATACACTAAAAAAATTACCAAAATTACCTACTCAAACTACCTCCCAAACATGATAACTTCACCCCGTCACCACCCGTCTGGTACTGAACTAAACAAACCTCATCTGCTCCTGTCCGGGCCACTCTAACTGGGCGGGAATAATACGGGTTCGGATTCAGTACAAACCCGGAAAATGACAGATGGTGCGTGATTTTGTATAAATATATTTTCTCTTTAGCACACTGCGTAACATACAGTCGTTAGGAAGTGGAGAAATCTGGAGTGATGTAGTGAAGGTAGCTCTAAGAGAGGACCAGGGGGAGGGTGGACCTAGTAGCGACCAGCAAAGATGCTGGGATAGGTGCTGCGACTCTACCCCTGCAAAGACAAATAGGTAAGTACAAATAGGTGAGTACACACACACACACACACACACACACACACACACACACACACACACACACACACACTGCCTGAAAAAATGTGATAGTTTAATTTGCAATTTGGCTAAGATGAATAAAAAAAATTATGCTCCTGAAGAATGTGACAGATACATCACCACAGGTTTTAAAGTTTTTCTTGATAAAAGCTAAGCAGTTTATACCTGAATAAACAGACAGACAGGCAGTAAGTTATGCAAAAATACTGTCTCAAAGAATAACCGATACACGTTGCTGAGGAAAGAGGCCTCCCTATTGCTATCTTATATTTTTGTTCAAAGAGTTGTTGGTGGAAACAAACATGGAACCCACTGTGCAGAGCTTTGAGAAGAAGGTAGATGGGTGGACAACGGCAACAACTGACAAGTGGGAATAAAGACACTGGTAGCTAAAGTTCCTCTTAATATAACGTTTCTCCCAAACCTGGGCTTTATCAAGTACTTTAAACAAGTTCATGATAAAGCCCAGAAAATATTACCTATAAAGAAGGTAGGACTTTTTTGTCTGAGTCATTCAGCGATGAAGACAGTTTTTTTCACTAAGATCTCGGTTACTAATTTGGCTCACTTGTTCCATGCAGGTAGAGCAGATGCGAGAAGCACACTAGTAACATGCTATCACTGTTACCTGTTGACCCATTTGTCTTATGATAATGTTTATTTCTACAGGTTGGTTTACACGGATGCCACACAGACAGAGGTATTCCGCTATAGAGGCTCAGCGCCATTAACTGTACCTCACAAAGCTCTCAGAGATACCAAGCTGCAGGTTAGTGCCTCCACCTCTCCTCCCTCACCTCTATCACCTTCTCAAACTTGTCTTCAATCGTAATTAAACTATGTTAAAACTAGAAAAAAAAATGTTTAAATTTATCTCACAATGACTTTACTATGCCTCTCAGTGACCACTTGATCTTTCAGTGACCACTTGACCTCTGTTACAACTTGGCCTCTTAGTGGCCACTTGGCCTCTCAGTGACTACTTGACCTCTCAGTGATCACTTGACCTCTCAATGACCACTTGACTTCTGTTACCACTTGGCCTTTCAGTGACTTCATGTTCTCTAAGTGATTACTTTGCCTCTCAAAGACCACTCTAACTCTCAGTTACCAGTTGACCTCTCAGTGACAACTTGACCTCTCAGTGACCACTTGACATCTTAGTTAAGGCTTGACCTCTTGCTCTACCTGCCTTTCGTAGTGTGATAACATAGCAGGGTAGCTTGGAGGTAACATAACTGCTATTGACTGGATCCAGAGTTATTCGAATTAGGGGTACACAGACGCAGTTACAGGGTAGCCAGGAGCCAGTCAAGGGTTTAGGTCTTGACGGTAGGTCAGGTGACCAATTAGGTATCTGCCTAGATCATATTTTGGGTGCATTCGAAGCCACTGAAGAACTCAAGCCATTCAGTGACAGAGACAGGGTGTGCAGAGCAGGTGAGGTTGGGCCGCCCACTCTCGCAGCATATAGTCACATATGCTGCTGCCATTAAAGAGACACCTCTCAGTGGTACTCACCCTCGTACGTATACATATATGAAAGGTATGAATAATGTGAGGAAATGTAAGACTCCATCTGCTTCATCGCCGAAGTGTGTCGGAAAATGTTTCAATTGTCGTAAACTCGGTCATTACCAATCCGGGTGTAACAAACCTAGGTTCAAACCACATAACCGTAGTCGTTACAGTAACCGGCACTGAGACTGTATTGTATATACCACAAATCTGTGGGTCATTTCTCGGGTCAGTGTTATACCCTGCAGTGTACGGTCGTTGCTATGCAAAGCCATAGATCGGGGAATGCTGCCCATAGCGCCCATCGGCAGAAGGCAAAGGGGGGTAAGTACGCTATCGGGAATGGACGTGGTAGTAGCAGCCCTTCTCACAGCTCAGGAAAAGACTCGCACCCACAGTACCAACAACGGAGGTAATCTCTTTAACAGAATCGCTGTCTTCTGTCCCTGTACGCAATGCATTCGATGATCTTAGCGACGACACACTTGTAGTCAGATCAGAAGATGAGTGCCTTGATGATTGTGACAGGGATAGTACTGGCAGGTACTGGCAGTAGCAATTTGAAATGCAAAAATGATCCACTTGCAGAAGAGCAGAGTAACACAAAATATTATCAATGATAACACTATGTAACACAGTTTTTGTTCCTGGCAAGTAAGTGCTATTTTCCAACTCCTTTTATTGCAAAGCAATAGAAAATGCCCATTATTCATTTTAAACTTTGTTTTTGTGACTTACAGGATGAATTTTTTTTTTTTTACAAAAAAAAAATGGCTAAATTTCAATATCTTTTGATAGTTTTTGTTGCAAAACAAAAACATATAATGAAAAAAATAAAATTTACGTTAATAAAATAATATTTACACAAATTTTATTTTAAACATTCTGAAACATATTTACAAAGTTAAAAATGAGCAGTTTTTCTAGATTTGCGAGCAGCAACAAATCACTTTCCTGTTTAAGCCCCAAATGTAGTCTGTCATCATGTTTTATTATAAGATCCCTGATATCTGTGTTCGAAATCCATTATATCTTGGTGGAAGCGCTCCTCTTGCTCCTCTGAGTATGCTTCCATATTGAAAATTAGACACATATGCAGCATCTGGGTATCTTTAATGTAGACGTTTCGCCATTCAGTGGCTTTATCAATACAAATTCTATGACATAATGTGAAGACAGTAAAACTATCTACAAAAGATGAGGTAATCTTGTGAGGAGCTGGTGTGAAGAGCACCGTAGTCATGAAGAATCTGGAGCACAGACAAGAAGGCTGGCGCTTATATACTGGCGCCAGGTGAAAACGAGACGCCAGTGTGTAAGTGCCAGCCTTCTTGCCTGTGCTTCAGATTCTTCTCGACTACGGTGCTCTTCACACAAACTCCAAGGTTGAGGGACTGATTACCTCATCTTTTGTATATAGTTCCACAGTCTTCAAATTATATCCTAGAATTTTTATTGACAGCCAAAGATTCCCAGACGTTGCATATACGTCTAATTTTCATCTTGTCGGTATTGTACATGCTTCCATATTATCCTTGAAATTGTCAAGATGAGCATCAAGGATATTGACCGTAAGGGATATCCTACAGTTCATCTGATCATAGCTTTTTACAAAGGTCTCAACAAGTTCCATATAATTGTCAGCCTTGTTGTTGCCCAGAAAGCTCTGTGCTACATCAGAACCCTGCCAGGCTTCCATTTCCTTCTCTGTGAGCTTCTTTGAAAATTCTGAGCACTCCATGATTTTCCTGACCTGTGGTCCAGTGAAGATGCCAGCCTTCACCTTTGCCTCTGATAGCTTTGGAAAGAAGTCTCGAAGATACTTCAAAGCTGCAGACTCTTCTTCAAGAGCTGTAACAAACTGTTTCATTAGCCCTAGTTTGATGTGTAATGGAGGGAACAGAACTTTTTGAGTATCCACCAATGGTTTATGCTTGATATTATGTCTTCCTACAGAGAACCCAGTCCTTCGAGGCCAGTGCATCCTCTGGTAATGTGCTGCTCTGTCTCTACTAGCTCAGTGACAGAGATAACAGGGAAACTTGGTAAAACCTCCCTGGAGTCCCATCAAAAATGCCACAATTTTGAAGTCTCCAATAACCTCCCAGCCATACTTGTCATAGTTCAAAGCTTCCAGTAGAAGTATGACACTGTTGTAGTCCTCCATAAGATGCACTGAATGAGCCAAGGGAAGAGATGGATACTTGTTCTCATTGTGCAGAAGTACAGCTTTTAGGCTTCTGGAGGAGCTGTCAAAGAAACGTCTCCACTCATCTGGATTGCATGCAATTCCATTTGCATCAAACAGGCCTGATATACCATTACAGTAGCACAACCTGTCTTCATTAGTGAGGAAGCTTGAGAAATGTTGGTGACGTTTTCTTTGGCTTGTCACTTGCACACTTTCATCCACCAAGTCCCGATCCTTGAGCTCTGAAATCAAAAGCTCAGCATTTAACTTTGTCAAACCAAGCTCTCTGATGAGATCATTGAGGTATGTTTGGTTTGGGTTGTAAGGATTCCTTCCAACAGCTGCATCTGTGAGACCATAGTCTTGTTCACTGTGCTCTTCATTTTCTGATTTGCTGTTTTCTTCTTCTGACGATTGACTTCTTTCTGGAGGTGTAAGTACAGGAAGATCTGCACTGTGTGGTACTGGTGCAATTGAAGAGGGAAGGTCTGGATAAGAAATATCAGGCGCAGTTTTCCCAGTTCGGTGTTTGGAAGGATCCACCAGGAAGAAGCACCAGTTGGTTGAGTGATCAGTGGGTTTACACTATATTCTAGGAACAGCAAACTTCATGGCTATTTTTTCCCCTCTATACCATCCTGTAAAAGAACAAAAGAATTAGTTTCTGTTACATACATTTCATTAAAAAAATGTTCCTATTCAAGATTTTATCCTTCATATAACTAATGACTTTCTTACCTTTCATGTTTTCTTACAATGTTAACAAGCAACACGAGGTGTCCAGGTCTTGTCTTGGTCCACAACTGGCATGACAAAATATGCTTTGTAAGCTTCACACATTTTTTTAGATGCTCTTGTCTTAATGAATTGACAACATATGTAGTAGAATGCATCTGGAGAATGATTACAGCCTCTTGATACCATTTCACTTCTTCTGATGTGTCTTCTCAGGTAGCCAGAGTTGAACTGAATGCTAGTTTGTGAGCCCCTGTTTTTATATTTGCCAAGCAAAACCCTAGAACATAATAGTTTTTACATCAATCTTTCTTGAAAGTGTTCCAGAAGTGTCATGACCACAAAAGCAAAGTTCTGGGATCAAAATTGTTTTTTTAAATTTTGTTTAGTTGTGAAGAATTGGGAAATGATGCTTATTTCCCAGGAACATGACAAAAGTGAAATTTTGTTATATAGTGTAATAAATGGCGAAGAAAAATCGCAAATGCCATATCCAATGCTGCCAACACTGTTACAACCAACTATAGAAATAAACGGTATAAAATAGCGACACAATGGAAATATGAACATATAAGCAGTATAATGTGATCCTTTATTGACGACATTTCACTCACACAGTGAGCTTTATCAAGTCACAAACAGATCTACCTGGGTAAAGATACGTGAGAATTTATAGGATAGGTCAGGTGAAGAATACTGCATGTGACGATCTTCTGAGTAGAGAGATAAATTCTAGAACCTTGGGTAGCTTTAAAAAGAGATTGGATAAGTATGTGAGTAGACCTTCTGCAGTGTCTTTTTATAACATAGCTGAACCCCTCGCCAAGACACTTCTTCGTCGCTATCCCACATAAGAACATAAGAATGGAGGAACACTACAGAAGATCTACTCATATACTTATCCAATCTCTTTTTAGAGCTACACAAGGTTCTAGAGACTATCCTACTTGAAAGATTGTCACATGCAGCATTTTCCACCTGACTCTATCCTATAAATACTCACGTACCTTTACCCACGTAGATCTGTTTGTGACTTGATGAAGCCCACTGCGTGGGCGAAACGTTGTCAATAAAGGATCATATTATAGTGCTTAAGTGTTTATATTTCCATAAGAAACTGTTTTTAGTAGTGTGGTAGCAGAGCAGGGTAGCTTGGAGGCTGAAGACAAAAGCTACTGACAAATCTGGATTCATTTCAACATGGGGTACAGAGGCAGACGCAGAGGGTAGCTAGGAGCCAGTCAAGGGGGTAGGTCATGTGAACGCGAAATGAGGAAGATGTCAGGCAGCATGGGTAAACCTCAGAGCCTGACGTTAGGTGGGAACTTTAAAAATTAGGCCTAGGCCAGTAACTCAAGTGGGAGATGTGTACAACAGTTGGGTAGACTTAGTGTCTACACACTTAATTACCACTTGACCTCTGAGTTACGACTTGGCCTCTGTGTGACTCCTTGACCTCTCTGTGACCACTTGGCTTCGCTGTGACCACTTGGCTTCTCTGTGACCACTTGGCTTCTCTGTGAGCACTTAACCTCTCTCTGAGCACTTGGCCTCTCTGTGACCTCTTGACTCTCAGAAATTTCATTATTCATTCTGATACTAGCTACTTCTTGTGTTCCATGATCAAGCTCTTTATGATTTCTTAGATGAAACTCGGCAGTCGTACCAATTAATATTTTCTTGTCATTTACCTGTCCCTTCACCTGCCTTTATGTCCACCGTTTGGTACTATATAAGCCATATGGGTTTACCGTTTGTTTTGAATACAACAATGTGCCATAGCAAATTCAATCCGCCTCAGTGGCCTCTTTCTGTCTCAATATCTCTACAATGACCTCACTGCCTCCACAGTGACCTCACTGTCTCCACAGTGACCTCACTGTCTCCACAGTGACCTCACTGTCTCTACAGTGATATCACTGCCTCTACAGTGACCTCACTATCTCTACAATGACCTCACTGCCTCAACAGTGACCTCGCTGTCTCCACAGTGACCTCACTGTCTCCACAGTGACCTCACTGCCTCTACAGTGATATCACTGCCTGTACAGTGACCTCACTGCCTCTGCAGTGACTTCATTGTCTCCACAGTGACCTCACTGTCTTCACAGGGACCTCACTGCCTCCACAGTGACCTCACTCTGCCTCCACAGTGGCCTTCCTGTCTCCACAGTGACGTCACTGTCTTCACGGTGACATCACTGCCTCCACAGTGACCTCACTCTACCTCCACAGTGGCTTTCCTGTCTCCTCGGTAACCTCACTGTTTCCATATTGACCTTAGTGTCTCCACAGTGACTCACTCTACCTCCACAGTGACCTTAGTGTCTCCATAGTGACCTAATGTCTCCACAGTGACTCACTCTACCTCCACAGTGACCTTAGTGTCTCCATAGTGACCTTAGTGTCTCCACAGTGACTCACTCTACCTCCACAGTGACCTTAGTGTCTTCATAGTGACCTTACCGTCTCCACAGAGTGACCTCACTCTACCCCCACAGTGACCTTAGCTTCTCCATAGAGACCTTACTCTCTCCTTTGTGACCTCTACCTCCACAGTGACCTTACTCTCTCCACAGTGACCTTAGTGTCTCCATAGTGACCCTACTGTCTCCACAGTGACCTCACTCTACTTTCACAGTGGCCTTACTCTCTCCACAGTGACCTCACTGTCTCCATACTGACCATGCTATCTCCACAGCCACATTACTTCGCATACAATAATTTTAACTAGTAATGACATCACTGAGATTTCAGCGAAGATGCTATACCAGTATACAATAACATCTTGATGTAACTACACATCTGATATCATTGTGATTATTCACAGGGCTTCAGGATCCCAGCCGGGACGGTAGTAATGAACAACTTGTACAGCGTCCATATGGACCCAGGCTACTGGGGTGACCCGGAAACCTTCCGCCCAGAGCGTTTCATCAACCCTGATGGTTCATTTCGTAAGGACGAGCGTGTCATTCCCTTCGGCAAAGGTGATTCTTGTGACTCACGAAACTAATGACACGACTGCAAACAAACCATACCACGGGTGGGGTTAGAACCCGCTATCAGAAAGTCTCAAAAGTCCAGACCGTCGCGTTAGCCACTGGGCCAGCTAGCTTCAAGAAGATTCATCGAACTAGGTATATTTCTACACTATAGGAAGGTTAGCATAGGCGCCACTGTGACCTGTGCATTTGTTGTCACAGTAGTGCCTATGCTAACCTTCCTATAGTGTAGAAATATAGCAAATTGGATGAATCTTATTGAAGCTAGCTGGCCCAGTGGCTAACGCGACGGTCTGGAGTTTTGAGACTCTGATCGCGGGTTCTAACCCCACCCGTGGTGTGGTTTGTGATTCGTGTAACGAAAAAATGTCTTTTTGGTTTGCAAACGTAACGCTTTTGTTGCATATATTAAATTTTTGTTGCAAATTGAACGTTTGGTTTGCAAATATAAAACTTGTGGTGGAAATGTTAACCTTTTGCATATTTTCTTTCTGTATAGTGCTGGAAACAAATGTCCCGTTATTTAATATTTTCATATGGTCCAATATCGCGTAACTACTAAGAAAATTTGTGCACTTGTGAACGTAGCTCAGGAGGCCTGAGAGTTGCGACATTAGTTAAAAAGGTCACCAAGCGGATAGCAAATATTTTTTGTCTATATTATTGTTATTTTTGTTATATATCTCTTACACTTTGTATCCATAATAACTACTAGTGTTTTCCCAGGTCGACGATCCTGTTTAGGAGAATCTCTGGCCAGGATGACAACGTTTTTGCTGTTCTCTTCTCTCATGCAACACTTCACCTTCAGTCTGGACCCCGCTATTCCTGTCACCAACACAGACGGCAAGATGGGCTTCACGCTCGCCCCTCCAGATTTCAGAGTTTTTGCCAAAGCTAGGCTCTAGTGTTAACATTCAAGCCTCAGGAACTTAAAGTCCCTCATGAAGCAGCATTTTGTAGTGAACACAGCCGTCAGAAAATGAGGAAACACAACAGAAATTATCCTTGTTATAATTAAATGCCCATAGCAGAAGCAATAGAAAGCATGTGCAAAAAAAAAAAAATTGCAGCCAACAGAATTCGAACCCACGTCGGCAGCCCTCAATGAGTTTAACTAGCCCCCATCTTGACGTCTTAAACCACTGCTATAGATACCTCATAACATTAGGTACCTTGCTGGACTGCAAGCTATGTGTCTCTTAACACCGAGTACACCAGTGAGCCTCAAGCATGGATTCCAGATATTTCATTTTCCTCGTGTATGTTCTGGCCACACGATTCCGTACTGAGCTCAATGACCCTCGCAGAGACAAGAGAAAGTATATGCAAAGAAATATTGTAGCCAGCTGGATTCTAACCAGCGTCGGCAGCTTTCTACCTGACACTTTAAACCACTCCATTACAGATGCTCTATATAATGTTACGATATTTCTGTGTTTATGCTTTTGCTTGTAACTGCGAGAGCCATGGTATCAGAACATACAGGAAGAGAATGAAATAGCTCAGGGACTCAGGGAGAAGGAGATCTATCTTTCTCCCAGACCTCAGCAATCCACTTCCTAGAAGAAGATCAGAAATACTTCTAGACTGTAAAGAATTTCGGTTGTTAGACAGTACATTAGGACAGCGAGAGAGCATCAGCTAAAACATTACTCGAACCTTTTATGTAACAAATAGAGATCCGGTAAGGTTGGATTCTTAAAGCCCAGCATAATATTCTAACATTTATCGATTTCATAGAATTTATAAATTTATGAATGTAAATATTTATCACATGAGGAGAATAGCCAAGGTTTACGTCAAAGTGTTTCAAGGATAAGACTAAAGCCAGGGCTTCTTTTTCTACAGTTGAATAGAATCTTTGATTTTCTTTCAATTTATAGGAAAAATAACATACTGGATGTAAAATATCACTGTTTTGAAAAGATTGTAGTAACTATAGTACTGATGAGGGCAATCGTCTGGCATAAGTGGCAAATGTTGTGAAAGGCATTCAAACCTTTCTAAATTGAGATTCTCAAACGTGGCTGGTGGGTAAAGCTCCCGCTTCAACACGGATGGCGTTTCGAATTCCCAAGCGTTGAACATTCGTACATTTCATTACAATGTTGTCCTTTCACCTAGCAGCAAATAGGTACTGTGTTAGTCGACTGGGTGGGTCGCATCTGGCAAAGTTATGGCCATGGAAATAAGTTAGTAGTCCTGAATAGCACTGATTTCTTGGGTACGGTGGCTAAAACCCTCTCGGTTAAAATCGAAGAATCTAATCTAACCTTTCTAAATGAGATTGCCAATCATCACTAGAAACCACCAGATCATCCAAGTATACCTCTACACCTTCTAAGGGTTGGACTAAAATGTTCATAATTCTCTGGAAAGTGGACGTGGCATTGCACAAGCCGAAAGGCATGACCTAATATGTAAATAGTTCGTTCTCAACCACAAACCCAGAAATCTCTTGTGCCCTAGGAGTTAACTATCGGCACCTGGTAATAACCTCTCAGTAAATCTAATCTGTCACAAGGCTGGCACCGGCCACTGCATCAATTAGGTCGTCAATCCGGGGCAATGGGAATTCATCTGGCTTAGTGATCGCATTTACCTTACGATAATCTGTGCATAGGTGCACGGTACCATGGGGTTTGGGACCAATAAACCCAATATCATTTGATAGAACCCAGCTGGAGGCCCATGGCATCCAGCTGCATTCTATCAAATGATATTCCAGTAAGGTGTTTATTTCTTATTGAATTAATTCTTGTTTAGCAGGGGAGACCCTGTAAGGGGATTGCTTTATCAGACTATCTTCTAACAATTCAATATCATGAAAACCCAAGGTACAAAGGGCAGGGATATCTTGGAATACGGAGTTATATTTAGTGATCATTTCTTTTATTGTGATTTTTGGATGGTAGGAAGAACTTCTAGGAAAAGGTCTAGTTGTGTCAAAATTTTCGAATTACGTAGTCGAAATTCTCTCACTTCCCCTACTGCATTATTTTTAACTTTAGAGGATGTAGGTTGAACAGAGGCGATATTAGTAGGAAGAGGTTTAAACTCATACTTCTTCAAGGTATTTATGTGATACCTCTTAATTTTCTTGCGATGTCCTGGTTCACAGATCAGATAATTCACCTCATTTTCTTTGCCTACTATCTCACAAGGCCCCAAATATCGAGGTTTTAACGAATGTCCCAGAATTAAGTTTTTAACTAACACTAATTCATTGGGATAGAACTAACGTGGTTTAGATCTTTGGTCATATAATTTTTTCATTTTGGCTTGAGCTTCGATCAGGTTCATGGCAGCTAAGTTCTTCAATTTGGAGAGACGTTCCTTCCAAAGCGGAGGACTGGGAGGACGAGGTCCTCTCTTCCCTACCCAAGAGTCTCATAATATGGCTAGAGGTCCTCGTACATGATGTCCGAAAATCAAATCGAAGGGAGAGAATTTAGTACTTTCCTGTTCAGCTTCCCAGAGGGCAAGGAGAAGGAAGGGTAAACCTTCATCCCATTCACGGGAATATTGTCCGCAGTAAGCACGTAGAGTGGATTTAAGGGTTTGGTGGAATTTTTCCAGTACCCCTTGTGACTGGGGGTGATATGTCGTAGACAGGATCTGCCTTACTCCTGATCATGACACAGCCTCTTTAAAAACCTTTGATGTAAAATTCGAATCTTGATCTGAATGAATTTCACGTGGTATGTCCACTTGTGCAAAGAAGCATATCAAAGCGCATACCATATTTCTGGAATTAATTTTTGACTTTGGAATAGCCTCTGGATACAGCGTTGCCATATCCATGATAGTGAAGATATACTCGTTATTCCTCTTTGTGCGGGGCAACGGTCCTACACAATCAATAACAACGGTCCTACACAATCAAAAGGTTCTTCAGGACATTTTATTGGCAGTAAAGGGGCAGACGCGGGATTGTGCGCCATTTTGCCTATTATTTGACAAACATGGCATTTCTGTAGTTTGTCAGCAATATAGGTTCTCATCAGGGGCCAATAAAAATATTTCCGAATCTTCTCTGTCTTACGGGATCCTAAATGACCTCCCAGCGGATTATTGTGTGTTAGTTCAAATATCATACTGCACAAGGATGAGGGGACCATCAACAATTTCCTTTTGAAATAGAATTACTAACATTACTTCTTCTCCAAAGAAAATCATCCTCATTTAAAAAGAAACCTTCTCTATTCCCCTTTATTACATTTTCTAGCTAGGTCCACAGGGACCGGTAAAACGTTTTTAATGTCACCTGTGGCTCTGGAATAAATTGCTTCGCTAAACAGGAAGTTTAAACCTAATTTGTCGGATTCTTCTAATATATGTGGGCTATCCATATGTTTAGAATCTTTAGCCATGGCTCTCGTGATCACACTAAGAGGAAATAAATCTAGTCCTGCCTCAGAAGCTTCTAATGCACAATTTACATTGCAGGGATTGTCTTTATATTCAGGAAGTTCTACGTAAATCCTTATAATGGGGACCTTTATTACAGTGCCTCCGTATGCCTCTAATGCGTCTAGCCGGGGTTCACTACTACTAGGTAACTTTACCAGGTTTGATCTTAACAGAGAGAGATAGCTGCCATATCTCGAAAGGTAGTGATGTTTACTAACCTCTCTTTACTAGAGTCTGAACTTTCCATTGGAAAAGTACGGTTCCATAGCTGCTCGGACCATTTCTTCTGAATAAGTAAGTAAGTAAGTAAGTTTATTCAGGTATACACAAATACAGTTACATAGAATTATCATACATAGCAGCATATGTGTAGAGAACCTAGGATAACCCAAAAAAGTCAGACAGAGTGACTTATTTCCATTGGGGTCCTTACCTTGGTAAAGTAATCTATAAGATGGACCACTAGACGAGGCCTGTAAAGGTAAAAACTCATCATCCAGAATTTTAGGCTTCCGAGAGGAATTTATTACCAGAGTAGGACATCTCAGTCTTGGTTGGGTTTTATCTTTCCACTGTTTATGCCAACACTGGAACTGCCTATGACCTAACTTATTACAAAAGAAGCAAAGTGGTAGTTGTTCCTTAGGGTAATGTCTGGAAAGGGACCCATTTGTCACCTGTTTTTATTTTCCCTGAAAGCGCCTTCTTCAAAGGTTCGGCAGCTGGTGCTTTCTTAACAGACATTTTTGAACTATAACTTAGGGAGGCAGATCTCTTTTCTAGTGTCTTAGCCATTTCCATGGTTATAGCATGGGAAATTTAAAAATTATCTGCGTGGGCAGCAGTATCTAACAAGTTAGTAGTAGGAAATGTCAAAAGATACGTATGAACTCTCCCCAGCAAATATTTAAAAAGGTCTTCCTGTAATATCAGCTGGGAAAGTGACTCAATGGAAGAGGCTCCTGCGGCCCTATGCCAGTGCTCATATGCTGAGAGCTTTTCTCTGGCAAAGTCCACCCAAGATTGTTGAGGATGTTTCTTTAAAGTTCTGTACATCTTTAAGTAACTAACAGGTAGTAGGTCATATGCTTTCAAAAGACAATCTTTTACCTAATTATAATTAGAATATTGTTCGAAAGGTAAGTCTGCAGTGATGGTTTGGGCTTTTCCTACTAATGATGAATGTATCAATGCTGCCCAGTACTTTGGAGGCCATTGCATCACCTTCGCCTGATTTTCAAATGTCTCAAAAAATGAATCTACATTGTCTTCAGTAAATTTAGGCATTAAAGAGGCTGCTTCACTGAGGTCAAAAGAGGGTATTGTATGAGTATTACTTGATTCTTTTTTCTTTCTAAGCAATTCCAATTCATAAAGCAAAGACTCACGCTCAAAATTCTTCCTTAGTTTCTACATAGGAGGTGTGGAAAATTTTCTAGGGGTGATTACCTGTATGTACCTCAACATTATATACATACAAGTAATCTCATTGGGAGACAACCATATTGTTTACCGTAGTCACCCCGTGTAGACATGTGAGAAAACTTAACCACCCCTGGTCACGGCAGGTGGTCCCTTCGACCTCACAATCTTATCCATATCTATCCGAGACCAGTATGGATTGGATAGCACCCACAAGTACGGTGCTACTAATTAACTGTGGACTGTATAGATTATATTAGTGTAACTGAATGAAAAAAGGGGGGGTAGGTCACACATG